AAATCAAAAGCACTCTGAAGGAATGGCAATGGTTGCAAGGACAGGTCAGTTCCACAGTGCCATTTTGCTCACCTACAGGTTGAGCTTTGAGATATCTGAGAACAGAGAACCTAGGTTGTGTTTTGAGAATGGATTTTAAAAAGAACCCTGAAAAGCTGTTAGAAGTCATGTGTTTTATCATGTTAATATTCAGTTTATTGTATAAGATGTGTCTGATTCATAACATAAGGCACATGAACTGCTGTGCCAGGTCAGACTGAAAAGACTGTAGAGAGGAGTAATCTCTCTGAAGAGCAAAAGCCTAAGGAAGAGTATGTATTAATGTTCTATCCACTACTCTCCTGGACACCAGAAATTTGCTATTAAGAGACTTACTGAGTAGCTTGACCAATCCCAGGTAACAATTTACTATTCTTTTATTGAATAAGAACTCTCACAGTGAAACATTTAAATAAGTGGAAAGATCCTAGGTCTAGAGTAGGGGGGAGGCCAATTCAGACTGAAATTTGACCTTGTTGCTGTATCTCAAACAGAAATTCAGGCCTTGCTCAACTCTGTACACCACATTATAAACATTTCACAACAGCTGGTCCTTCTTGTCCACAAAAACTATGAATCCATTAGTGTGTGTCTGCAGTGTTTCTGACTTCCCCCCGCCCCCAAGAGTTGTCATGGCAGAAAGAGGAACAGTTATAAATCCTGGTGACAGTCACTAATGCCTACACACTTAGGCCCTGTCTGTACACCAATGTGGTACTGAAGTTCTTAGTAAATTTCTCCAGTACTAGAATTACCAGTGGAGGAGAAAATTCCTACACTTTCAGGTTACCTGAACATAGATGTGCATTGCACATGCTTCAGATAGTGCTATTCCTGCCCTAGGTGTTGAATTACAGGATGGGTTTATTGAAGGGGGAGCAGAAACTTAAGGGAAAAAAAACCCCACACCTTTATATTCAGCCTGACTTCACTGTGCCTTGTGTCTTTATCTGTTACACTTTGAAGTCTTCCAAAATTGGAGTGCATAAAGTTTCTATGACAAAACATGTGATTATAAAACCCTTTGGTAAGATACATGAACATTATTGCTGTTACTATAGTAACTTCTGTTAGAAATATTTACTGCTAAGACAGAAGAAGAAAATTTAGACTGAACAGTGATAGTTTTAATAACACACCCCCACATGCTCTGATCACCGAAATCTTTGGTGTACTCATAAGTCTTAATATGTCAGCCTTAATTGCTTAGCAAAATGTTGCTAGCATATTATTCATTTTATGTTTATTGATGATTGTTTATGCAGAGTTGCTGCCTTGGCAGAGTATATATCTTATTTGATTAGTATCCTTATTGTGGTAACTGTATATAAATAAAAATATGTCTCAAATATATATGCTCTGGCATAATAATTTCAACCTGTGATGTGCATTTTTATTTTAAACAGCAACAAGTTTCCTATGAACAGAGAAAAGTATTAGATTTTATTCATATCTTAAAAATTCCTTTGGCAGATAGTATTTATCAGGTGACAGAACCTATGAAATACCTAGTTTTTCTAGTAAGTAAAATTAAATTAATTTAACTTTTTTGTTGAACACATCCTGAAAGAGGGCAATTGGAAGTGTGTAG